GCTGGGGGTTATAAGTTGACCCCCAGTTGTCAATCCACTACAGACTGCGTGACCTCCTTTAAACCTGTTAGTTGGCACTGTTACAGCAGACGAAACAGAGGCACAGAGAGGTGAGGGCACACCAAGGCCAAATGACTAGTGAACGGTCAAACTGTACCAAACACCTCACTTAACCCCTGTGCTATTTATTGTCTTCCCTCAACACAGTATTCTGTGTCGTAAATCCCAGTTCATCTCAGTCCCAAATGTACCTGCTTGCAGGGGCTGGGGATTTAGCTCAGCGGCACAGTGCCTGCCTGGCAAGCGCAAGGTTGTGAGTTTGATTCCTGGTACCATAAAAAAAAAAAAAAAAACCAAATGTACCTGCTTGGTACCAAGGAGGACAGAGAGGCCAGCAGCTGGCACTGGGTGGCTCTCGGGTTTGTCTGAGTTGTGCCCTGGAGTCACAGGTACTTAGTCTAGGTGTCATAATTGCTCATAACTGAAATTAGATAGCGGTTTTTGTCCTTTGTCTACCTACTGGGAAATGTTCTTGGGGAGGGAGAGCCACCAGCAGAAGAAGGGGGTTAATTAGATTTGTGCTTTATATCCAGCATACTATAAAGGGATTTGTACATCTACCAGGAATTAAGGCTTTCTAGCCAGGTTTATCATTATGGCATTGTAAGAATACATGTATTGTGTGGAACTCATGCACCTTCACAGTTCAGGCAATAAGAAGGATACATTTGTTTTCTAGAGATAAGGAGGACTTAACAGGTCAGTTATGGGAATACATTTCTAGTTTGTATAATTTCAGTAGAAAGATAACTTTTCATGTGTAAGTATAATGCAATAAAAATAAATTCATAAAGTGGTTAAACTTATTAAAGTAGAAAATATTTTAACCACAGGCATGGCTCATCTGGACAGTGAGGTCTCCTTTGTTACTGTTCTTATACAGTCTCTCCGCCTGTTCCCTTGTTGGTCAGAAATGATTCTACTTGTGTCTGTCTCTTTGTCTTTGTCTTTGTCTCCGTCTTGGTCTTTCTTTTTCTTTCTTTCTTTCTTTCTTTCTTTCTTTCTTTCTTTCTTTGCTTGCTTCCTTCCTTCGTTTCTTTCTTTGGGTTTTTTTCAAGGCAGGGTCTCACTATGTAGTTCAAGCTGGCCTTGAACTTGCTTATGTAGCCCAGGCTGGCCTTGAACTCAGGGCGATCCTCCTGCCTCAGCCTGCCATGCCTGTTGGTTTTACAGGCATGCATCACCCCCCAGATTCTATCTGCATCTTGAAAGAGGTTTTTTTTTTTTTTTTTTTTTGCTTTATTTCATTGCTACCTTCAGTATACTTTTGCGGTAAGTCATAGACATTAGTTGAATTGTGTGTGATAAATCTTCCTTCATATGGCTTTCATTACTCTGTTTTCCAATGAAAAAGGAGGACCAAGGAGACAGAAGGAGAAGAGAAGCCCTGCATGAGGCGGGAGTGCCTCGATCCCACGGCACGCTCCCGTCCATGTGTGAAGAAGGAGGTTTATGCGAAGGATGGGCTGGTATCTCAGGGTCTTCAGGGCAGGGATGAAGGAGCTCTGGGGAGTGCAGGGCAGTTGGAGGTGAGGAGAGCAACTTCCCAATTATGGGCACATGGGTGACATCAGTGTTAGCAAGACAAGTGAGGGAAGTGGACCAAAGTAGAAATGTATGCGGTGTATTAATGCCGGAGCATGATATTTACAGTTACGTAGCTCTCTTGTGCTCTTAGCTCACGTTCATTGTATGGGATTCACATATATCCACATGTATATGAAATCATCTAAAATTTTGAGGACTGATATTGTAACTATCACATCCTTGCACATCCAAATGTCATCTCTCTCTCTTTCTCTCTCTCTCTCTCTCTCTCTCTCTCTCTCTCTCTCTCTCTCTCTCCCTCTCGTCCCCTCTCTCATTAGTACCGTACTAATTCCCTCTCTCATTAGTACCGTACTAATTGGTTTTACTTGTTTATTCACTCAGAAGTACATCATGGATATCCTTTCTTATCAATAAAAACAGGTTTCTAGCATTGCTTTATCATTTGTATATGTCGTGCGTAGTTTACTTAACGTTTCGCCTGCTGGTGGGGCCTTTATGGATGTTTGTGTCTCTTCATAGTTATGATGTCTTTGTAAACAGTTGGTGGTGCTGGGGATTGAACCTGGGCTTGTGCAGGCTGAGCAAGTGCCCTGCCCCTGAGCTATACCCCAGCCCTTCTTTTTATGGGTGTGCCTTGGTGCTTGCTAATTGGGTCTGAGGGCTGCGGCGAGTTCTGAGAGCGACAAGAACCAAGGTGTTTATGCTGGAAAGGACAGCAGGGCATGGGACGGTGGACACTGCCGTGTTCTAGTTTTCCAGTCAAATACCAAAGAAATAGCCAGGACTGGGACAACATTTTTGAATTAAAAGGTATCGACTACCAAATGCAGTGAGTTTGGGAACAGTCCAGGAGTACCAAGGTATGACAGTAGACCGTGCCTTATATGTCCACCTCTCTCTCTCACAGTGCACACTATGAGTGAGTTCTTAGAAGTGGGTGTCCATTTTACCTGCTGGCCCAGTTGCCCAAGTGGCTAGAAATGTCCATGGCATTGGGTGTTATCGTCAGTATTGGACATCTGTTTTGCTTTGCTTTGCTTTGCTTGCTTGTTTGTTTGAGACAGAGTCTCAGTAGGAAGTTTAGGATGGCTTTGAGCTCACTATGTAGCTGTGGTTGGCCTCTTAGTGATCCTCCTGCCTCAGCCTCCTGGTATTAACATTTTTACTATCTTTACTAATCTGGTAAGTGAAGAAAAATAAAGTCTCAGTTTTCTGAAGTTGTGTTTTTTTGTTGTTATCTTTTCATATGCCCATTCTATTAGATTTTTTAGGATTCTTATGGAAAGTTTAATTTGCTTTGTCCATGTTGAAGGGAATATTGACTTTCCTTATTTATTTTTCTGTCATCTTTCCAAAATAAATATAGCAACCTTTTATGCCTCATGTTTAAATATTTTTTCTGCTTTATTTTTGACAAATGTATTTTTTCAATTGTGCTGTTTTTACCATTTATGTGTTTCAGATTTTTTAAAAATATGTAACCAGCCAAATAGTTTAATCGTTTATAGATCCAGATTTTGATGCCATATTTAAATGTCTTTCCTATCTTCACATTATAAAACTATCCAAGTACATATTCTAGTACTCCTTTGATTTGCTTTTGAAGAGAGAGAAATGTAGATTTTCCCACTCCCTAAGTAGATAACTATCTTGGTTGCTTTTCTGTCCTTGCTGAGACAAAATACCTGATACCCACAATTGAGGAAGGAAAGGTTTACTTAGCTCACAGTTGATGGGGGTTTAGTCCATACTTGGCAAGCTGCGAGGCAGGGTGGCACATGGCAGAGGGTAACAGTTCATGGCAGTGGAAAACAGCAAAAGCAACAAGAGCAAAAAGGGAGGAGCAGCAAGAGCAAGCCTCTTTCCCTCCCTTATACTGTATGCAGGCTACCTGCCCCAAGGCAGGTGTAGCACTCACATGCATAATGCCAGTGTTGGACCATGAATCAGTCACAAACTCTAGAAGCCCGCCCATGACTGCAGGAGGCTTTAGGGGACGTTTAGACATAAACCACAACAGTAACCAATATAACTTATTAGCTGATCCCTCACACTTGCCCAGATTTGGTGACATACTGGGGTGTGTCTCGCGTGAATGCTCTCAGTGTTCACTGCACATCTTCCCACCCAGTCTGCTGTTTGTTAACCAGGCTGAGCTGTTGTGTTGGTTTCTGCAGTTGAGCCTGATGCTTCTTGGCTCCTGAGTGAATTCCCTTGGAGCAAGATGCTAGATGGTAAATTCCCAGTGCCTTAGAACTGGGCAGGATCTAGCAGCTGCTAAAAGCAAGAAGGCACTGCCTCAGATGCGTCCAAGGAATAAGTAGGGGGAAAGTGCACAGATAAAAACAGCAATGTAAACTAATTTAAAGCGGACGTGGGGGGCTGAGATTATTTTAGGCACATGGGAAGTGCAGAAAAGGGGCCTTATATACTTGGCTTTTGTTTACACTGAAAGCCATTAAAGCCTGCCTACCACAGAGGAGGGGAAAAGAAGGTGCTCTGCCTCTTTGCCAACAGTAACATAATTTCGGTCTTAGAAATAAGTGTCTTGGGAACTCAATTCCCTGTCGGTAGAGCAGATTCCCAGCCCATGTGTTGCAGTGGAAATTCATCGTTTCCTGAGTTATTTCCTTTCCTGCTTAGTGTGGGGAAAATGACCAAATGTATAGATTGAGTGTTCTGTTCTGTTTTTTTCCCTTTCTCAAAACCTGCTATCTGGAGCATGGCTTGGTGCTGATGGCTTTTATGATTGTTTTAGGTATTGCTGCTGGAGGCTTCTCACACGCCTCAGGATCTCTTCGGGGAAATCAACTCCACAGAAACTGAAAATTTAGGTGAGTCTTCACAAACAAAGCAGAATAAACCCTTGATGACTGACCATCCCGCTGCGTTGGTACAGCTCTCTGAAGTGTCACAGCCTTTTGCAGTGTCACGTGACCTTGCCCGTGGCTCTGTGTACAAGCGTGCTTTGTGCCTGGTCTTCTCACTCCTCTGACTGATTTCTCCATTATTGGTGGTGGTGGGGTTGACTGGAGAGGCCTAGAAGAGGGGCTGAGTTGCTGGTTTTTGACTTTATTACAATTTATTGCATAAATCGTCATTCATAAAGCGAACATCTGTTCGCTTCATAATTCTTTTGGGGAAGGGGGACACAGGAAGTCCAGGACAAGGAAGTAGTGTGGAAACTTCCAGTGACCTTTGCCCTCAAAGAGGTGGTTGCTAGAGACTGGGGTTTGCTGTAGCATGAGATGAAGTAGACTGCGGTTGTAGGTGATTGGCCTCCCCTCGCTTGTCCTGGTGGAGCCACATGGTCCTAAACCATGTGTCTGAAATACTCCGGGCCGGGTTGCAGGGCGTCCGGCTGTGGGCCCAGGGTTTGCCGAGTTGGGAATCTGACAGGGTGCGAAGCGTCTTGTGGTCTTGTCTCCCATAACTGTGTCACAGTTCACCCGGATGTATCAGTTCTGTCCCTCTTGAGTTGGACACCTGGGGACAGGCCACCCACCTATTCTGCCCCTCTCCTTGTCTTCCTCTGTAGCATCCTCTGTACTAAGCATTTCCATGCTTTTAGCTCTTGTGGGCTAGGGAAAACCTATCAAGATCAGTTTTCAGTATTAGTTTTGGCTGGATATAAACAAAGCTGATCCTTAAAGCTGGAGTTGACTGTGTATTTATATGCTGTTGTAGTTTGCTGCGTTTGGATCGTTCCATCAAGAAAGGTTGGTTTTAACATAATAACTTCTATCTAGTAGCATCTTTTCATGAAAAAAGAAATATTCTTACTAACAGAGTAGGAATGCCACCAATTTGTCCTTAGCGTTATGAAAGCACTCCTGTCTTCCCACCTCTTCCTTGTTCCTCTGCATGCGGGGACAGTTAGCCCTGGAGCCAGCAGCCTTAGTTAGAGGTCTGGTGTTGGGGAAGTGCTGGGTGTGTAACTGCTAAGGACTCTTCCGCCTGCAAACCTGTGCTGCCCCTGTCTCTTGTATGCTCCGTGTACCCCAACAGGAAAGATGAGCACCCTGTTTTCATGCTGCCTAGTTTCAGAAAATATTGTGACAGCTCCGTGGTCAAACTAAGACAGGTCTGAGGTCAAACACAAGGGGAGGGACTGCTCTGTTGGAAACTTCAAGTAAAAAATGATTCATTTCTCTGAACATGAAGTAGCTGTGGGTTACACTGCAGTCAGTGTAGGAATGAAAATCTGACCGTGTTCGCAGCCTTCTGGCGAAAGTGTCCGGGATCCTTTCCTGCCCTATGGGGCAGCCCCTGGCTGGTGGTATTTGACTACTGAGAGCTGGGGGAAGCTGGCAGAATGCCAGGCTCCTTGGACACCAGTGCCAGCTTGACAGGTGGGGAGCTCAAGGCTGGTCAGAGGTCAAGGGCACAGCCAAGGACAGTGTGGTCAAAAGCCCCTTTGACAGACCTCATGAGGCCCCTGGGTGGACAGTGTCTGCAGAAGTTACTGGGTGGTCACACCTGGCCGAAGGCCTGGTGTCTGCGTTGACCGCAAGCTTCCAATCCGTGCCTTTTCTGGGACTGGATCTGAAAGGAACCTGCCAGGTGGCATCTGGTACCGTGGTCTCTAGGGAGCGGAACACTGTGGTTTCTGATTGCTTTGCCTTGGGGGGCGGGGTGAGCCTGTGAGGTGGGTGGGAGGCTGGGGACACAGGGGGCCAAATTCCCATGATAGTAAACAGTGTGAGGGAGGAACAGCAAGACCCCTCTCCAGGAGGCCACCTCATCATGGCTGCTGTGGAGCCCAGAGAGGTCCCGTGTGGTCTGTGTGGACTGCAGCATGGTGGTGCTGTCCTTTGGGTGCTCTCCCTCCGTGGCTTCTAGCTCATGTCAGCAGTCCTATTTTCTGAGAAAGCTAGATGAAATTTGACAGACATACCTGGTTGTTTCCTGTTTTGTCCCCTAATCTTGGTGTTTTTGCCTGATTGGTGTGTTTCACTGGCTGTTTCCACCCTAGGAATGTTTATTCACTGCCCCTTTTAGGAGGAAGCTGTATCAATCCACAGCAGCAGCAGAAACACTTGTCTTCAATGTATAGGACTGGGAGATTGCCTGGAATCTTGACATTTCTGAAAGTATCTCAAATCACCAGCAAATGCTGGCATAGGGCTTTTATTTTGACATAAACCAAAGCAAAGAGAATTGCTTTAAGGGATCTGGACCAGCCCAAGTCGGAATAAAATTTAATGAATGAACAATGTAACCAATCAATCATATTCTGGAGCGTTTCAGAAAGCCAGGACATTCTGGGTGAGATCTTGTAAGAAAGAGCAATTAACAAAGTGAGACAGCCACGCTTCACGGAAATAAATGTGATGTTTTCAAGGGATATGTACGTGTGAGTGGTGTGTGTGTGCGTGTAGGGGAGAGAAATTGATAGATGGTGTGGGGAATGATAAATGATTTGTTTAACATTTTATTTAATGGCTTGTGATATATTATGGATTTGAGAATAAATGTAATATTGTGAACTTACGGCTGTATTCCCTGTAGGCTTAGAAAAAAAAATATTTTAAAACCTATTTGAAATGAAAAACAGTGGTTTTGGCTCCCTGGGAATGTTTAGTTCCCAGTGTCGTTCCGGGAAGGGGACTGAATCTGGAAAATTTGAAGCAGCATCTGAGTAGATGTTTGTCATTCTGTAGCAGTCTTCGCAGGGCTATGATACCAGTAAAGACAGGTTGTTCCTCTGCTTCCCTTTCCCCGTTGAGAACGTGATCCGTTATGCATTGTTTTCTTTTTCCTCCCTCTGTTAGTCACTTTCCTTGGATTACTCTCCGGCAACCCCTTGCCCATGGTGCCGTCAGACCTTTCCTCCTACAGGCTCCTGAATGACCGAGAGCCTCTGATCGTGCTGTCCTGTTGGTCAGGAGTCCCAGGCTGGGGTCTTCGCTCTGCTCTCCACTCTTAGTATTTCAGGAGAACAACCATAGCAGTTTTCAGACCTTTTCATATTAATCCATGGTGTAATAGGTTGCGCTGTTTTTTGAGGTTTTGGGCTCATTATGTTCTTCAGTTAGCTTCAGTTGAAGTTTTAAAAATCCTACTGTAGAACTCAAGGTTTAAGCCTTGGTTTTATTTTGTGGACTCTAGAATACTGCTGCCTGCATTTATATGTTCTCCTTTTGAACTTGACTTTTTAAAAAAAATCGTAGTTCACTTTAGTTGTGAAATTCCCTTTCCGGGATATCCAAACTGATCATCAAATCCATTCTGTACTCTCTCTGACATCAGAATTGCATAGCTTTCTAATTTTGTACACTGACTGATATATTTATAGGGTTTAAACTTTAATAAGATTAAGATAAACACACTGTGAGGCCAGCTGTGAACGTGTCAGTACACCACTGTGTAGTTTGGTAAAGGCTGGTAAGAATCCTACTGATATCATCTAAACCAGTGCCTTATAGAAGATCTGTTATTTAAAAATATTTAAGTCCAAGTATTACATGCTAAACATGGGAAATATCTGAATGAAACCACAAAAGACCCCCAACCCAATCAAAGCATTCATGAGCTGAAAGAACAAAGCTGGAGACATCACAGTTCAGAATATACTACAAACCCATGGTAACCAAAACAGGTTGGTGCTGGGTTCAAAACAGGGTGACCAGTGGAATAGAATCGAGAACCTAGAAATCCACACATTTATAGTCAGTTAGTTTTTGACAAGGTTTCAATCTCTTCAATGAATGGTCTTGGGACAACTAGATATGAATACACACAAAAATGAAATTAGACCCCTACCTCACACAATATACAAAGGTAAATCAAAAATAACTTAGGTCCTGCAGATGTAGCTCATTGTAGGATACTTGCCTAGCATTTGTGAGACCCTGGGTTCATCCCCCAGCAGTACAAAAGCTGTCTTAAGAACTTAAATGTACCACCTAAAACTATAAAATTACTAGAAAAAAATGGGCAAAACCTCCATGACGTCAATCTAGTCAGCTTTTGAAAAAAAAAAAACAAAAAAACCCTCAAAATTAAAAAATATAAATCCAAAAGCAAAGATTAGAAAAGCAAAAAATAAATGAGATTACATCATGCTAAAACAGTTCTCCACAGGGTGCAAGAGAAAAAAAAAACTGAACAGAAAATATTTGCAAACCACAGTAAGAGAATAACCTGGTTAAAATATGGCAAAAGGATCTGAATAGATATTTCTCCAAAGAAGACATATAAATGGCCAATAGGTATATGAAAAAAAGCCCTAAATCAGTAATCACCAGAGAAATCCAAATTAAAACAGCATCTCACACCTATTAGAATGGCTGTTAGCAAAAAGATAAAAGATAGCAGGTGTTAGAGAGTAGGTGTGGAGAAAAGGGAACCCTCCCACGTGGAAATTAAATTAGTGTAGACATTAAGGAAAATGGTATGCAGATTCTTCAAGAGTTAAAAGTATATGATCCAGCAGTTCCACCAGTGGATGTGTATCCCAAGTAAATAAATACCAGAGGTATTAGCACTCTTGCATTCATTGAAACACTGTCCATTATCCAAGATGAAATCAATACTAAATGTCCATGAATTGGTAAAGAAACTGTACTATATCTACATAATGGAATACTATTGGCTTTAAGAACAGCTGTCTTTCATGACAGCATGGATTCATCTAGAGAATATTATGTTAAATGAAGCAAACCAGGCACAGAAAAGTGCGTACTGCATGTTCTCACTTGCAGGTTGAAAACTAAAAATGTTGAACTCATAGAAGTAGAGAAGGGACAAAAGATGTTGGCCCAAGGACACATAATTTCAATTAGGAGGTGTAAGTTCAAGAGATCTGTGGGATGACACAGTGACATTTATA